AAGTCTGGTGTGCAAAAAAATATGCATCGTCTCATCTGACGAAAATAATTAAAACTTATTGGATCAAGAGTCAAGCTAGTACTTCAAATCTTATATTGCATTTTTTATCTAAATCAGAGAAATATAGCTGATCATAAGACCAAATTCGTATTTATCTTCTTTCTCAGCAAGCAATAAATCTCGATTTCATGCAATAAGAGTCTTCGAGCCAGTATCTCCTTCAATCTCAAACTCTTTTTCTCTTGTTTCGTTTTGGAAAAAAAATTGAGTTTTATTAAAAAGTGCATATTTTCCGAGATTTTTCGATACAATCAAATCCAATAGTTCAGAAATATTTGGACAAAATATGATCACTATATGAGTATTTATATATTGTTATTATGTACCAGTCGAATGGTTTGAAAAGGAGAATCGAATGAGCATATGCAGAAATTTATCCGCACATACACATGCATATCTCAGGGGCGTAAATGTGCGGCTGACATCCTCACATTTTCAGCTCCATCCTAACTCATTTTATCCTCGAATCTCACGGTCATCCAACTTAAGCAGAAAATTTAGTAGATGTCTGAAGGCGTCTCTCAGTCTGAAAGAAGTCGAATGAAGTCAAATAAGTTGAAATCAAATTATATTTTCTGTAAATACCTATTGTTCTAATCTGTCGGGACATTTTTCGAGTAAAATGCTATTTTCTCGCGAAGGATATGTGCTTAAGAGCTGAAATTTTTCTCGCAGTTTTACCATATAGTCATCTAAAAAGGGTAAAAAAATCATGGTCTTAACTCCTATAGTTACCAAGAAATCAAAGAAACAAAATTCAAAATCTGTCGGGATGTTTAACAGAAAAGTGGCATCCTTCCCACTTATTTTTGGTTTTTAATTTGATCCAGAAGGTCCTTGAAAAAAACATTTTTAAATAAGAAAATAATGCAGTAATAGAAACAATTTTTTTTTTCCTTTTATTTTTCAATTTTCAATTCAAATTTCGAAGGGATGGTAGAATTTTCGATCTTGACTGTTATTAACAAGCTGGTAAGAGCAGTCATCATCAGTAGAAATATTCAATAATCTAATCCATAAAACAGTCTATAAAACCAATCCATAATCTAAAATCTTTGATCTAATCCATTTTATAGATTATTTTATGGATTAGATTATTGAATATTTGTACTGATGATGACCGCTCTTACCAGCTTGTTAATAACAGTCAAGGTCGAAAATTCTATTATCTCTTCAAGATTTAAATTGAAAATTGAAAAAAAAAGGAAAAAAAAATTGTTTCTATTACTACATTATTTTCTTGTTTAATATACGCAAAAAACGTTTCTGACTTTTCTCAAGTTACACTGATATAACTTTTTTCTTACAAGATTTCTCGCTCTTTGGGCTATCGAATATTAAAAGTAAATTCGCGTTTGCCTTTAAATTGGCTTTAGTAGATTGAATTAATCTGTCGAGACATAAATCGTCAAAGTGTATGTTTAGATAGTTTTTGCAGGATTTGATCGGTAGATCCAAAGTGGTTGTCAGAAATTATTTTTATTTAGGATTGATCGGAAAAATGCCAAGAATCTAAATTTGATGAGCTTCAGTATGGATCGGAAGCGGCAAAAAACTAAAAAAATATTTTCAAGTTAAGTATGAAAACAGTTTTTCTGTATGGGCACTATATCTAAACAGTACATTAGACAGAAAGCAGCACACAAAGAACTTATATTCACACTGTCTCAAGCAAAAGTGAATGAAATAAAATTAATTTTTCTGTTGCTGTGTGTCCTTATGTTTGAAATTCTCTAGTCTGCATATCTTCTGTCATAAGTACAACTATTTGTTTCAATGAGTGAAACATAAATCGACTAGATTCTAAGTATAAACAGAAGATGATGCACCGGAGAAGTAGACGTCACTATGAAAGCGGCTAGCCATGAGTGGCGCCCGGAGAGGTGCCGACGAAGGAGTAGTTGCTGGTCTGTACCATTAATCGGAGGTGAGCTTCGCAGTGTCGTAGTTCATAGAAAAATTGCCTATCTTTGTGGTTCAATCAATTGGTATCATATGCAAAAGCGACAAAAACTAGCAAGTTTTTCTCTAAATCAGTTTCGAGAAAAAAATTTTCTGCAGAAGTGAAACATCTTGAACATGCATTTGACGAAATGCATGTGTTAGCGCATTTGTATTAACATATCTTCTATGCGGATAAAAAAATGTGGATGTTTCGTGATCTAAATTGAAAAGATAATCGCTTTGAAAACCAGTCTAAAAATAACTGAGACGCTCATATAACATTAAAGACTTGTTTCGCAAACGGCAACGATAGAAATGGAACGTCAAATAATATTACTGAACAAATTGTATATAAATGTTGTGAATTAGAGTGCGAAGCGATTTATATGCATTTGTGGAATATCATTAAACGTTGGTTATAAAAGAGAAGAAGCAATTAAATACTACGGTAACACTTAGTTAACTTGGACATTTGTTACCTTACTCAAAGGCATTCTTTAAATAGATCTAGTTTCAAATTTCTCATTGAGAAGTTTTTTTTATAGTAATAGAATAGTCTTTCGTAAAGTGTCCCATGAGAGTTGATTGAATTGCAATCTGAATTGGACGATTAGTTGGTATAGGAGATGTAAACATGGTAGCGACTAGCCGTGAGTGGCACCTCAGAGGGCTGCCGACGATCGACTAGTCGCTGGCCTGTATAATTTATTTAAGGCACGCATTTTTTTTACAATATTCAATCCTTGTTCATTTAACTATTTCTACTTTCCTGCTTTTGTAATTAATAGTGAAAGCATTAAGAGTGTGATATGCAGAAATTTCGATATGACGCGGAACATTTAGAAATATCTTGAAATTGAAGTCATAGCCGATAGTTAACGACGGAAATTTCTCGTTAGCATTCTTATCAAGAATTATTTTGCTATAAATCAAATAGTTTTCTGCGAGATATGTGTCAACGTCTCTTATTTACAGGTAAATCATTTGTTTGTAGATGTATCGAAACCAATCTAAGAGCAGGAAGCTAACGACTAGCAGGTAGTGATCTATTGCTCGTGAGATATTTCACAGATATGAGTGTAAAATTAATCAATCGAGGGGCAGTAGTCCTACATTTTCCTGATCTTTTGAGCATGCATGATGAACAATGAATGTTACAGTTTCAACAATAAATATTATTTTGAAAAAATAAAGAATTAGTTAGAATCAAATGTTATTGTAGCATCAGTAGCATCGCATACATCGGCGAATTATTTGACAATAATTCCCAAGATGAATAGAAAGAGTTCAGTCGAGGGTCAAGCGAGTCGTAACGACGAGCGTTATCTTGTTTATAGTGAGCGTTTTTTTTCTTAAAAAAAGTTTTCTACAAAAATGGAACGCGTTCTTTGCCGTTTTTTTCGTGAATATTTTTCACTGGGCAGTGTCACAAAATTCACAGTGCAATTTGTTTATCTAGATCGATGTGACAGCGCATGAACACAATCAAGTTGCATTTCGAGTTTTGAAGTTACTGGTACTCAATGTTTCTATCATTACTACAGTAACGCTTTTTGCCTTTATTCCTGTGACATCCACATGCATGCAATATCGTGGATGATCAAATGTTGCATAGCAAAGAAAATATTTAGTCTACATCTATGAAAACTAGACAAGATGCAGCGAAAATGCGGAGGTCCTCATTCATTGTAAGCCATCCTTCAGTCTTAACAAAATAGGGTCGAATTCATGTTCTCTACTGCCCCCCTAAAAACAAATGTTTGACTACGGCTGAACATCGAACAACCGCCCCCTCAGTTGATAAATGTGATATCGATATTCCATCGATCAGATTTTGGGTAAATCAATCAAAAACATCCACTTTTCAAGCTATCTTCTCAGAATTGAGAATAATTTTATGTGACTATTTAACAATCTGAAGCATAGAAACATGCTTTTGGTCATATCGACAAAAAATAAATAGCTAAATACAGGGAAGAAGCTGAATATAAATGGCATTGTACTTTAAGACCAGTAGTTGAATAAGTTTATGTAGCAGAAGTAAAACAGCAACTCATACTACATATCCAAACCCAAACCCAAACCCAAACCCAAACTCAAACCCAAACCCAAACCCAAACTCAATACCCAAACCCAAACCCAAACCCAAACTCATAAACCCAAACCCAAACCCAAACCCAAACTCAATACCCAAACTCATCAAATCCAAACGGTTTGGGTTTGTTGCATGGCTAGGTACCTCTGACATATAGGATTTGAGGTCCTAAGGGTATCTCTGGAATATAAGACTTCGGGACCCAAGCGTACCTCTAGAATATAGGACTTGAGGGCCTAAGGATGCCTCCATTATATAGGACTTGAGAACTTAAAGATACCTCTGGAACACAGGACTTGAGGACCTAAAGGTACCTCTGGAACATACGACTTGAGGACCTGAAGGTACCTCTGGAATACAGGACTTGAGGACCTATAAGTACCTCTGAAATATAGGACTTGAGGACCTAGAGGTACCTCTGGAATACAGGACTTGAGGACCTATAGGTATCTCTAGAACACAGGACTTGGGAACCTATAGGTACCTTTGGAATATAGGACTTCAGGACCTAAAGGTACTTATGGAATACAGGACTTGAGGACCTAAAGGTACCTCTGGAATACAGGACTTGAGGACCTAAGGATATCTCCACTATATAGGACTCGAGGACCTGAAGGTACGCCTGGAATATTGGAGAGTGCTTACTGTAATTAGTGCTAGACTAATTAGCGCTAATTAGTTAAGTACTCACGTAATTAGTAGTAATTAAGATGAATACTAATTAATTGATAAAGACTTGTTTAACAATTATATACATTATCAGTGTGCATCGATGACTTTCTGTGTTATATGGTAAAAACGGTAAAATATGGATTTTGGACTCCATTTGGGATAGCGCCAACTTTGGTTCACTTCATATAACCTCGTAATCGTCAATATTCTGTTCTTCATCAGTTGATTCTTATTCGTCAATTGATTCTTCTTCATCAGCACTGTCTCCTTCGTCTGTCATTTCATCATATTCATCATGGAAATCGAGAGATTCATAAGTGTGTAGTTCATTAAAATGACTATCTTTAAATGTCCTTAAAATTTCGAACAATTGTTGTGAAGCCAAAACTTCATCTTCACTTGTTGTTGAATTTTGAAAGTGAAATTCCATTTGTGTCAAATAAAGAAGATGTTTCGCAATGTTTACCAAATTCATTTTTTTCAATCGATGAGTCAATCTTTTCAAATATTAATCGTGGTGAAAAATAAGAAAGGATGTTACTTTGAATGCGCACTTGATTGAGCCTTACGAATACCAATCATAAAAGAATATATTTTCAAATTATTAAGTGATGCATCAATGCACTTAATTTTCGAATATCTTACATATTAACATTTTTCAAACACGATACTTGTTATTCTGAAATTGACACTGTTAAAATTTAGAAGAAATCGCATCTACAGTAGTCTAAATGATGTCAATAAAACTTATATCGATCGTGGAAACGTACTTCCTAACAAATCTGATGATTATCTTAAAAGCTGATATGAATATTTCATGTATTATCATGTTTCTGCACGCAATTTATGTGAAACTTAAAAATTGAATATCTCTGTCAAAGTAAGCCATCAGCAGCTCATATTTTAAATGCGTTAGTTTCTCAGTAAATGTGATCATTTGCACCCCACCCAGTCGTCCATCTCGCTTGACAGTACAAACAGTTCCATTGTGAGACAAGAGGAAAAATAAAGAAGACAATCGTATGAAACCATTACATCTAAATCACGAGAGGTTGAAGTCATGTGTTGCATATCGATTCATATTTATTTGAAGGAGTTACATTGACGTTTAGACTTAATCAGAAAATATTTAAACTCTGTCATAAAAACAAGACATAGATATAGAAGTGTGGCATGGCAGGAATTTCGTCTAATTCCTGCTCGATCCGATTCCGGAATCAGACGAAATTCCAAGAATTTCCGTCCAATTCCTGCTTGATCAGATCTCGAATATCCTGTTTCGGATCCGCTCGCTTATTCTAAGTGTTAATATTCAGGCACAATGGCAAATATGAAGGTGAGGACGAGAAGGAATGTTCATGTGAAATAGAAATCGATTGCTGCATTTCCGGAATCGGTGGAATTGCTTTTCGGAGCGGAATGGGATGTATTCTCAATTCTATTTATTTTAGATTACATGAAAAAACTATCCTAAGTTAATACTTCAAATGAAGTCTTCCATCAAATACAACCCAACGCCGTTGAATCAAATTCAGTATCGAGTTCATACCGTTTCACTTTAGGGTCGTATGGTTCTGTGACTACCACAATCCATTTTTTAATTTGTTTCTCTGAGTCTTTGATGCAGAATTCGTCTAAATCGTCTTCTTTGTGGATGGAATAGCATGTATCGTATTCAGTTCGCCAATCACCATTGCTTACAAACTGATGGGTGACAGGGTTATAACGCGGATTTCTACCGTTATTATAATTAATGTGATCTTTCTCGACCATATAAACTTTACCCATTTCTATTTCAGCAATGAACCAAGCACCGCGGCCTCCCTCTCTGCCTATTTTAATGTCAGTAGCGTCGAGTGACCGGGCAAAATATGTTCCAGGACCCAGCATACCGGATTTGCTCGGTCGAAATTCACTTGTGACAATACTCACGGCAGCTTCAGGAGTGGTTTGATGAAAACCGATGTAAGTTGAAATAGTTTTCGATTTTCTATCTGTATTCAATATCCTGTCTGATTCAGACCGGTTTGACCAACGTTCTTGTGGTTTAAAATTACTGTAATGAAAAGTGGCAATATGTTCAAGTCCTCTTTTAGGACATGGAGTTTGTGAACAAGATCGATTGTCCCATTTATCTTCTTTCAAATATTCAGCAATGAGAATGTATGGTATATAACGTCGATGTTTAGACGAACGACAACAACAACATGTTACATCAAGATAAGGAGTGTAGTGCCACCAAACACAATAATGATATAGATCAAGTAGGAATGTTAAAAAAATGCCAATCAGTGAGAAAGCGCATAGTTCTGCTAGAAGAATGGACCGGTTTCCTAGATGATTGCTGGTAACATAAAGAGCTATGGCTACGAGTCTTAAAAGAGCAATAGAACCGAGGAATCCTAAACGCACAAGAAATCGTGTTTTTGGTCTCGGTCTGTAAAATGGAAAATTACAATCCAAAGCAACGAAACGACGAACTGCTTTGTGTCGCCAAACTTTTCTCATCCATCCTCTTGTACTGATGCTGGCAGTAGTCGAAGATGATTGGTCGCTACTGCAACAGATTTTACAACAGAAAATCGATAATTTGAGCATAAAAATAATTATCAATAGTGAGATGAGTAAGCCCATCAATGTGGGAACAAGAGAACTAATCCAATCGAGGACGAAGGCAGCTGTATATCTGGGATTGTATGTTTGAGAAATATTTTCGTTATCTTCTAATGGTGAAAAGTAGATCGATAGACGAACAAGGCCCAAAATCATTTCCACAATAGCAATGAAAGCATGGAATTGTGGCAGTGCTTTGTAAAAACCAGGACAGTGACAGCAGGTAGGATTCATGCTGAAAAAAAACGAAATTTCTTGACGACAACACGAAACTATTGATTTTTTCTTTCCAGAAAAAGCCAAGTGAATGATCGTATGAAGTGAACCAAAGTTGACGTCAGCGAAACTGTAGTCCACAATCCACATTTTACTGTTTCTCTAACACATAACCCAGAAAGCAATCAACAAGTACCACTGATTGTTTCAAGTGTTTCATAAATGTTTTAGAATGTTTTCTCGACCTTTTTGATCACTATCTAGTGTTAACATTCATAACTTTTTAAAGGCTACCTTAGACACTTTTAGTGACCTTTAATGAAACATCATTAGTAAACTTTTAAGGGTTACCTGAGACTATTTATAGTCACTTTTTGAGGACTACGCCCTAAAAACAGCCAAAAGAGCGTTCACTAGTGCTACGAAACGTTTTACATTTTTCTGGCGGACACATAGACGGAACTCTTATATGAAATCATTTTAGATGCCGTATAAAACTTGTACGAAATACTTAGGTTCGATGCGAAACGCATAAGAGTTCGTATATAATCTTAAAGATTTTGTACAATGACTTTTGCCCGTATGTTCGTGGAAAAATCTAAAGAAGTTTGGTGGTGCTGTTGAACCTTCTTGCTGTTTTTAGGGCCTGGTAATATACCTTTTTACTAGTGTACCGAAGGTATTCTCGATAACTTTTTAAGGGTTGTTCAAAGATACTATTAGTAAATTTTCAGAGCAGTCATCCTGTTCCGCGACGTTAAACATTAGGGAATCAGTTCCGCCTAGGGAACTAATTCCACCGATTCCGGAATTGCATGAAGTCTATAGAGACTTCGATTCCGGAATTGATTTCACTAATTCCTAGGATATCCGGAATCAACTCCAACTATTCCAATTGATACCGTCCACTTCCGAAATCGGTACTAATTCCATCGATTGCGGAATCACAAGGAATTCCGTGCAATTCCGAGTGATTCTGGAATCAGAACTAATTCAATCAATTCCGGAATCGCAAGGAATCCCTAGGAATTTCGTGTAATTCCGATTGGTTCCGGAATGAGATAGTGCTTCGGTTTGATCCAATTCCGGAATCGGTGGAATTAATTCCTGAGGCGGAACTAGTTCCGCAATGTGCAACATCGAGGAATAGGATGTATTCTCAATTTTCAAGACTTACCCAGGGCATCCTCACCAGCGAAACTGCTCGTTGCATATCCTAGTCTTTGAGATGAGACATTGCTCTTTGAGTAGGATCTATTGAGAGCAGAATAACCTAGAATGACTTGTACCCGCCGACTGCCCCTTTGAATTTATGGCTATTTTACTAGTTTTTTTTACCACAAATACATCTCTGAAAAGGCGTCGAATAGACAATTCATAAAAAGTTTATTATACGTTGCACTTTCAGAAGCTTGCTTACGAGTTTACGATTCTGATAAATCCTTTCATATACCCTTCCGAGGAATGTTTGAGAAGATCCGGAAGATGCTTCTATACCGCAAAAAAGGAAATAGAAAACTTATCCTATATCTATAAAGGGTCACTTAATAAAACAGTAAGATTCTAGTATTATTTCTTACAATGGAAGGTCGCGAACTGTTGAGCAGCTAGATTGAGCATATTCGGGCAAAAAGAAAGCTTTTATCGAAAAACTAACGAATTTAAAATATGAAGTGCTGATGGCGTGCCTCAACAGAGATTCTTCAATATCAACATATGTCAAATTTAGGTAGAAAAATGAATCAGGAAAGGTTTTCTCCACTATTATAAGGACAAAATATAGTCTTGTTCGGGCCGATTATACGGTTTGTACGAACTCTCATATGGCCCGAACAACACCATGTTTTGTCCTTATGATAGTAGAGTGAATTTTTTTTGATGACTGGTAGAAAACGTCCCTTTCTATGGACTACAGAAAAAA